GTATTGAGGTCCCCCTCTACTATTGTATTAGTGCTTATTTGATTTTTCATGTCCATTAGTATTGTTTTATATAGTTGGGTGCACTAATATTTGGTGCATATATATTTATGACTGTTATGTCTTCCTCTTGGATTGTTCCGATTACAAGGATGTAGTGGCCTTCTTTTTCTCTCTTAATTAGTATTGGTTTGAAATTTTTCTTTTTGAGGGGTTCCTGTCACATGGAGTATTGTTTTCAACCCTTCAACTTTCAGTCTATGAGTTTTTTTTTTAATTAAGTGTGTTTCTTGTATGCAGTATATTGTTGGATCTTGCTTCTTGAACCATTCTGCCAGTCTATTTCTTTTGATTGGTTAATTGAGACCTTTAATATTGATGGTTATAACTGATATGTATTGACTTATCTTTATCATGACATTTTCTTGTTGTTGCATTCTCCTCCTTTGCATTTAAGTTCTTCTTGTACTTGAGGGTTTCATTCTGCTGGGCTTCCTGAGGTCGTGTCTTTTCCTAGGATATTGTTTAAATTATTTTTGGAGTGCTGGTTTGGTATTCATGATGTTCCTCAGGTGCTCTTTGTCATGAAAGTATCATATTTCTCCATAAATTTTGAAAGATAGTTTTGCAGGGTACATCAATCTGGGTTCAAGGTTGTTTCTTTTAGGTCTTGAAATACTTCACTTCAGTCCCTTCTTGATTTGAGGGTTTGTGTTTGATAATTCTGATGGTCTTTCCTTTTTATATAATTTGTTTCTTTTTCCTAACCGCTTGTAGGATTTTGTTCTTCTGTTCGGTTTCTGGAATCTTAACTATTATATGCCTCAGTTATCTGTATGTCAAGTTCTTTTCTCCTGTTTGAGAAGTTATCTGCCATCACTTCTGTGAATAGTGTTTTTACATCTTTTGCACTCTCACCTATGTCTTCATGACTCTGATCCATCTTATGTTATTCTTCTTTGCATCATCTGGCAGCTGATGGATTAATTTCTCATGGCTCCTTGCTAATTTAAAAAAAGCTTTCTTTTCCTGGTCACTAATCACAATTCTGTCCTCTATATCTGACTCTCAGCAACCCTTAGAGAGTCCTTCTCTCTGCTGATCACCAGTGTACTATTTCTTGGGTTCAGAATGGTGGCCTTCTGGATCCCTATGCTTCATTGTTTTCCAGGCGAGGTACTGTCTGATGCCTGTGCACACTTGTGATGGAGTGTGGGCATGCCTCTGGCTGTGTCCTGTCTCCCTGTATAGGTGTCCAGAAGGGCCTTTGGGTGTAGGCCAAGTCTCTGGTGTTTGAATGGGCTTCTGGCTGGGGTCTGCACTTACTGATAGTATCTGGGCAGGGCTCTGTCTATGGCTTGTGTGCCTGTGCAACTCTTTTCAATGCAGGCCTTTTGCTGGGGCCTATGGGCCCATGCTGCTGGTGTCTGGGTGAGACCCTGGCTGGTACCTGTGCACCCACACTGCTCTGGTCCATGTGCTCTTCTTGCTGGGATCGGAGCACTCTTACTGATAGTATCTGAATGGGCCTTTGGTTCCAAATCATCATCTTTTAAAACTCATTTTATAGGGAATAAAAGCTAGTACTATGACACTTTAAGAAATATCTTCTTCATAGTTGTGATAACTCATTAAACACCCAAGAATTACATTTTTCACAGAAAACTATTTCTTAAGTTAATAGAAAGTCCACAAGGAAATAAAAAACACTATGTAAGAGAAAGCTATAGATGTTTTATTCTGTATATATTTATAGATTCACAAGTATTGCATAGAGACTGAGTTCCCTAATTTTTGGAATTCTAACCAACCTATAATTTCCCGTATTTATCCTTTGAACTACAATTAAGGGTAGCTGCTTATTTAAATGTAGTTTTAAAATGTAACTAGAGAATAGATGTATTTCTAAGGTATCAGAAAGAAATCTATAAACCAATAACAAAACTAGAATTCAATTAAATCTAAATGTGAAACTACACAAAAAATTACCCTGTTCACATTTGATAATTCTTTTAAAAGAGTATTAATATTTTGTTGTCTACAGTATTATACAAATAGAACATTGTAAAATATAAAAATTTTCATGTTCTACTTAGCTAAACACATTCTGTTTCCTAAAAAAGAGATAGAAAAAAAATGAAGTAAAAATCTTTGCATAAAAATAAGGCTTGCTAATCACAGAAAATGGACTAGTTATAGTAAGTGCAATAGCTGAAACTATATGCTGCAGAGCTACTGAACCAAGAACTTATTTACTCGGCCCCCATTTCCAAGTGGAATAGGCTGACCAACTCATAAGCAGGCAACTTGCGATCCTAACAGATGGTTGTGTGTATTTCGAGACAAAAATACCATGAATGAACATCAGATGTGTTTGCTGAGGGCAAGAGTCCCAATCAAAGACACCCATACAGCTATTTATCCTAAGGTTGTTAACCCAGGTTTGAAGGCATCTGCCACTCCTTATCCATCTATTGGTGAGATTAAGTTCTCTCAATCACAAACTATATTTTTCATAGCAAAAAGCCCAATAGGAAATACTCTCTACATACTGTATTGTATACATATGAGTGTGTGTGCAGAGTAGTTTTTACTTATAAACATGTTAATTTCTGTTGATATCTTGAATGTATGCTAAAAGGAAATACTGTATATACATTCAAATCTGATTTTGGTTGATAGGTATTACAATCATTATCATAATCACTGTTTATCACCTCAAATATGTTTCCAACATAATAAAGCAGCCTGTAGGAGAGTAATGCCTCCACTTTCTCTGAACTGTCCAAAAGAAAAACTGATCTATTCTTTTCTAGATCTGTTGGGAGCAATGCTACATAATTTTAGGGAAAAATCATTTGGTTAGCCTAGTTCTCCTGCCTACAGCCCAGCTATGGAATTCCAAGACATAATTGCATTTTGACCTCTAGTCACAACTGAGACCTCAATGATCTGGTGATGCTGTCTGTGATTCTCCAAGACAAGAAACATCCTGGGAGCTGAAAACATCCTGGGAGGAACAAACATCTACTCAGTTCCTCATTGTTCTTGGATTGTTACATCTTATTTATGCAGGACATTACTAGAGCCTCTGCAGTAAGTCCTAGTCTCCTGCGAGCCACGGCAGTGCAAGGAGAATTACAGGAAAGGTAGAAAAATGAGACTGAGAAGAAGCTGAGCTTTGGGTCTGATCAGTGCTGCTCTGGGTGGCAAAGATGAAAGCCCCCAGCTTACCACACCTTTTATTCAGTACTCAGTATATCAGGAGAAACAGATGTAACAAATGACTTGCAGAGAGTTCAGTACATCCTGCATAAATAAGATGTAACAATCCAAGAAAAATGAGGAACTGAGTAGATGTTTGTTCCTCCCAGGATGTTTACAGCTCCCAGGATGTTTCTTGTCCTGGAGAATCACAGACAGCATCACCAGATCATTGAGGTCTCAGTTGTGACTGGAGGCCAAAATGCAATTATGTCTCAGAATTCCATAGCTGGACTGTAGGCAGGAGAACTAGGCTAACCAAATGATTTTTCCCTAAAATTATGTAGCATTGCTCCCAACATAGATCCATTTACACTCACATTTTAAAAGATGTAACTCAATCAGAGCATGATAGTCATGGTTTTATTTCTCAGAAGTTGTAGTTAGTCATTTTCATGTATTAGACTTTCCATACCTATTCCAGAAAATTCTATAGAAAAGGAGTAGGACAGCTCACACATATTTCCTTTTGCTAGTGGATAATTTTATTATAACAGTCACCTAAAGGACATCTGAATACGTAATAATTGTTTTGAATAATTTTCAATATATATTATCATCCTACTTAAATTGAAGGCTTCATTGCAAAGAAATGTAGATAAGTTATCAAGAGGCTAATATAGCAAACGCTAATATCTTAATAACATTTAAAAGATATCTAAAAAGTACTGAAGCTATATCTTTTTAAAATATGCATGATTTTTATCAAAATTTGAAATTTTTGTAGGTATTATTTTTTGGTAAGAGGAAATAGAATTCAGAATTTGCATCAAATATCAATAATTATATATGAGATTTAATTAAAAGCATTATTGCCTGAAATAAAATAAAGATAAGGAAATTTAAGGTAAAACATATACAATTTTTTACATTATTCTAACTTTGCCCATTATAATTAGCAATGAAAATACAAGAATGAATATTTTTGAAACAGATTCATATTATTATATATAAATACATTGATTTTATTAAAGTACAAAAAATCTGAAATCACACACAAGAAGAATGTCACATAATTCATATAATTTTTATTTACAAACTATATACCATATTAAGATAATAGACAACAAAGAATAGCAAAGAAGTGTATATAGTTTTGAGCATAATGAATTATTTAACTATTACAATTGGGAAAGGATTTCTACCAAATAAAAAGGGGAAAGAGGCTAAACTTTAAACTCAATTATTTTAAACTTAATGTATAATAATCACTTTTAGTTAATCTAAAATTCTAAAATGTTCTGAAAAATATAAAAGAGGAAACCTCTGAAAAATTCTAAAAGTGTATAGTAATAAAAATGAGATAAAATGCACTACTAGATATTCAAACATATGAAGCCAGCATAATTTAAAATGTATAATAGGTATAGATTGCCAATCAATAGAGCCACAGATAATTTTGGCAAATATATATGGAGTCAGTTATGTATGTAAGGAAATCTAGTGGTGCTAAAGAAGACATTTCAAAACAGTGAAGAAAAGTATTAATATTTAATAAAGTGGATATGGGACCATTTAGAAACAAAAATTTGATAGAAGAAAAATTAGAAAACAATTTTATTATTTTAATTTATTATTTTTTACAAACAGGTAAAGACAAATTCCAGCAAAATTAACAAAAAAGAAAATATGGCAGGATAAAATGTTACAAAGGGAAATATATTTTTAATGTAGGGATAGGAATGTCATTTACAAATAACATGAGAATCACCAGAAACCATTAATGAAAGACAAGGAAATAAAATTTAAAAATTCTTTATTAAACATTAGTTTCTATAATAACAATCAAAAAGTACAGTCTTGTGATAAAAAATGCATTTAGGTTAAGGACATTCATTCACCTATAGGATAATGGTCCCATAGATTATAATGGCATGTCATCATAGGTGTCCTAATATCATAGCTCAATGATTTCTTCACTTGTTGAGGTGATACAGGTGGGATGAAATCTATGGTTCTGGTAGTCCCATAAAGTGTAGTATATACAATTATATAGAGTGCATAATATTTAATTGATAATGATAATATATTACTATTTTACTGGTTTAAGTATTTACTATTACTATATTATTCATCATTATTTTAGAGTGTACTCCTACCTAAATATAAAAAAAAATATTGTCAAACTATATGTCACATTATTCTGTCAGTAGTCTCATGCATTTCATGATTCCCATAATTTTTTATTGTAGCAAGAGGCTACACTGAGTGACTGACCTTTGCCATCTAGGTTTGTGTAAGTTCAATCTATGATATTCTCACAACCAAAAAACACCCAAGGATATATTTTTCAAAATATATTATCTTCATTAAGTGATATATGACTACTCTCACTTGCTTAATATAGAAAAAGTGCATGGCTAGTTCAGTGCGTAGTCTATCAAGTGATTATTCAGGACAGCAGACTGTTCAACTTTCTCTTGGCTAGAATGGTTTCCTGGGTCCTAGTTTAGTTCTCAGTTCAGCCCTGCTTCCTAGAGACTCCTTCCAGCTGGGTGCTGTCTTGGTGCAGTCCCTACTTCATGTTCACATCAAGTCTTGTCTCTGAGTAATCTTTTCTTCCTCTGCAGCACCATGTTCACACACTGTGAAAAGTTATAAGTAGTGGACAGTTAGCCATTCTTTCACTATAGAAAGAAAGAATATGATGTTTGTAAATATAAAAATGCCTTTAAAAGCACATATTAAACATTAGAAGTATTATTAATATATCTGCCTTCTGAATAAAAAAGAGTTCTTTTGGAAAGCAGTGAAAGTATTGAAAATACACTATAAAAAATGAAGAAATTACAAATGCTCAAAAATGCTTGAAAATATATGGTATATTTTAATTGAAAAGTAAATTTAAAGCTCTTTGATCTCAAAAATACATACACACACACAGATCAGAGAAAAGGAGATATGCAGATTACTATGCTCAATCATTTGACAATGATTATGTAAAGAACAATGGGGAAAAATACAAGGGACTCTTTGGGTGTTTATATTTTGATAGTTTTGGTTTACTTTTGTGAATTAGATGCATTAATATTGAAATCCAAAAATTATTTTCAAACATATTAAAAAAAAACTCATGAACTGTAAAACATTGGGAAAGTTTTATCTATTTAAGCACATTATTAAGCTTAACTAAGTTTTAACCTAATGTTCCTGAGACTTCACCTGCAAAATCATGAATATATGCACCTAGAAAATATTTTGCATGATTCTAATGCTAGTGGTTTCTATGAAACACATTTTAAGAAGCACTATGTTGATAAGTAAAGAGTTAGGAAAAAACTTGCATATGTAGTAATATTTAATTATATTTCACTATACATTACCATAATCAAAACAAATATGTTCCACAGATATTTCCCCTTAATCAGACTATTCTGTTATGATGTAGAAAGTCTGAGGAATTTTCAGTGTATTCATAGTATACATATTATGCAAATCACAGTAATAGTTATTTTCTCCATGTTTCTGTCTTTTTTAGAAATTGTGGGGCTGTGGAGCATGTATGACATTTCACTTATTTACTGACACACCTCTCTGTCTGGCACAGATTTTACATATAATTCTACAAAAACAACCTGTTGGATGTGTATGTAGAGTTAAAAGTATGAATAAGTGAAAAGATTGATATTAATGTTATTGTTTATTCTTATATATGGATTGTATTTTAGGTTCAGTATTATGAGATAATCTTCTCAATCTACTACAATAGATGTAAATACACAGAAAGATTGTTTTACAGATTAGTGAGAATGAAAATGTACCAAATATTCTGATAAAGCATTTAGTTTATTTGCTTTTTCTAAAAAAAATCCCTCAGTGATAATAATCAAGGAAAATAAAGTGTTTAAATGGTTGAATTTTGAAGTGGGCTTTAGATGCTTGAATACTACCCCAAACATATTTTATTTTGGTGATTATTGAGAAAGTTTCCTGGACTTTCTACAATTCCATTCTCATCAGAAAAAGTGGAATGATAATAATACAGCTGACCACTAGAATCCTCCAAGGAATGAATGAAATATTTGTAAATATGTCTTTCATATATTAACCGCTAAATAAATGATCACTAAATAAACTCTATGTGATACCAGTGCAGGGTCTTCTATATTATCATAATCTGAGTTTTGAAAAGCATAATGATTTTACCATGTGGGAGTCTACTGAACGATGATTAGATCATAAAACACACATAATCAATAAATAAATGATTTTAACCAATAAAGCTTTTGTTCAATGCTTAAGGTTATTTGGGGGGATCTATTGATGTGCTTTCTTCTAGTAAACAATTTAATCAATTATGCCCAAGATAAAACTTTAAACTCACAGATTTTTAAGAATGTTGTGTAAGAGGAGAAATATAAGAATACATAAGTGTGAAAATTAATATTCATCATCAAATTTGTTTGAATTAGAAATGTGTAGGGGATTAGTAATGTACATTTGCAGATGTGTCTGTGGGGGTGTTTGCACAGATCATTGACATGTACGACAACAGACTGAGTTGTGGGGGAATGCTCCCCTGATTGTGGGTACCACTATACAATAGGCTTGCTGCCCAGATGGGATGCAGAAGGGAATGAGGAAATTCACCTTAAATTTAAAAAAACCTCCATTCTGCTTGAACATGTTTGTATTTTGATACTGGTATCACCTGTGCCATCACCAACCATCACATCAGACTGTGGCCTTCACTGCAGATACAAACCAGTGTCTCTCCAGGGGGCTTCCAGGCTTTTAGGCTTGGATTGGTATTGCATCCTTGATTCATGTTCTTTTTGTGACTTCCAGCTTTTTGAATTGAACAGCTACTGGATTCTCCAGATCTCCAGTGTGCAGAGGCCGCTCTAACTGTATATTTTTCTTTCATGATACAGATCACTATTGAATTCTTCCTATAGAGAACACTAACCAATATATTAAGTAAATATATAAAACTTTCACATATAATTTAAACATGACACTAATTAATGTTAAGATGGTGTGAATTCTATCTGTAGAGATGAATTCACTAAATTGAAAATTTATGCTTAAAATGTTTCCTTTTGTATGTATGTGTAAGTCAAATAGCTATTTCTAATAATGTCTGTATTTCATTGTTATAGTTAGTATGAGACTAAGGTGATGAACAATAGTAACATGTCTCTCTTAGTATTAAAATTTAAAAAGAGTACTCACTGGGATATTTAAGATTATAACACTGTTCACAAACAAGATCAAATATTGGCTCAGTTCCCACTATTGTAATAGAGTTAGGAAGCTTGAGAAAATATTTTCCTATTGATTAAAGACAAAAATAAGTTCATTTTTTTTTCCTCTCCTTTCTTAACTCTGAAAGTTCTGCAGTCTCATTTCAGCATTGAGTCATCCAGAACAATGTTCTCACAAATTTCTCCTAGATGCTGAGACCCCAGATTCTTATGCATAAAGCCCCACATGTTTATTTCCAGAGTAGATGGAAGGGGGGCATATATGTAATAAAAACAGCGCATGACATATAACTCACTTTTCTTGAAGTTAGAAATCAAAAATAACTTGTATATTTTAAAGAGAGCATTTTCTTGCCTATTTTTTAAAGAGTATTTGAGGTCTGAACATCAATAGTGTGAAAATAAGGTAAGGAATAATATGGAAAATAAGGTAAGGAATAATATGGAAAAAAAGAGAGAGATAGTAAAGAAATATTATTATTTCTGATGAGAACATCAGAAGCTTACTTTTGATGACAGCGTTATGTGTTTTTTTTGTTTTGGTACTGGGGATCGAACTCAGGACCTTGCACTCGCAAGGCAGGCAGTGGAACCACTGAGCTAAATCCCCAGCCCAGTGTGATGTGTTACAATGACAAAATCAAGTTAGAGTGAAAACATCCTTCAATTTTAGTCTTTTGCCTTTATCTCATGTAAGTTTTATGCTAATGATCTTTCACAATTCAAATATTGATAATTTGGAAAACAACCCTTGGAAGCATAATTTTCCAAACAGAAGCAAAAACATGTGGTTACTAAATGGAATTCAAATTTACTGCTTCAGATACTGCTTGTATCTGCTTTTTTGAAAGTGATCTCAGAAATACTTAAAGTTGTTTCTGTGAAAAGACAGGAAAAAATTAAGTTATTATGAAAGTAAATATATTTTTAAAGTATCTTATAATATGACTCTGATTAAGTTATTTATTATTCAGTTATTTGTTCCTTAATTCATCGTTGATACATATCTTTACCATCTTAATTCAAATTATTTCTATTCATTCAGTATCATTATGATTATGTTTCTACTTTTAAATTTTATTTTAATATTGGGTATGACTATCATTTAAATCTAATTTTTCCTTAATAAACTCATGTTGAGGTTTTATTCCCAATTTAACATTTTTGAGAAGTGATGGAACATTTAAGAGGTAAATAGGGTAAATAGGGTCATGGAAACTATTAGTTATCTTAAGATTGGAATCTTATAAAGTGTTTAACAGGTGCTCACACTATACTACTGAATATCAAAAACTGTGATCTGAAATAAATCACTTTCTTTTATAATTTGCCTAGCACCATGTACTTTGTCATAGCAACACAAAATTGACCAAGACAAATATTTTCTGGTTAGCAGGCAATAACTCATTTTTCTACTTTTAGGATAAATTTGCAGCCTTAGTTTTTTGTCTTCAGTTATTCAAAGACTAATCCATCTATAATTTCTGTCTTGACACAATTCAACAAGTATATTTATATGAACCCCAATTTATCTTATTAATTCCACAAATATGCATAGCATTAACAACTTAAGAATCTGATTTGCATGTAGAAATATCTTGGATGAAAATTCTTGATATTAGTATCAGGAAAAGTTTTTAGACCACGGTGATTTTTAAGCTGAATAATTCTAAAACTTTCTCCTTTGATTCTTCCCTCTTTCTGAAGTCATCCATCAGATTTATCTTTCCTCTGTTATGAACATTAATAGTTCACCTGAGCTTTGCTTCCTATCTGGACCATGGCCTTTCATTCTGATTCTATAGACAGTTGTGATAAGTTGTCGCTCATCTTTGTATTCTTATGCAATAAAAGTTATGATTAATAAGAATACCTGAAATTGCTGATCAGTGTAAATTAACAATTTAGGATCACAGAGTTAGCAATTGAATATAAAGATTTGATGAATAAGAAGCTTACCTAATAATGGTAATTAACTGGCTTTTATCAAAAGTCTTTCTCAAAGAATAAGAAGGTTCTTGTCAAATGTCATATATATAACATATACATACATATATATATTTAATCTCAACTCAGTGTTTTGTTTTTAATAACTTTTCTCATTCACTGCATCTTTTCATTGTACCAGGATGAGTTCTATGTGATATGTGTATAGTGTTTGTATTAGACAACATAATCTTAACTTTCAAAAGTAAAAAATGAAGATCATATTAATTTGTTATTATTATTTTCAATTTATAGATAAGGATTCTGAACAGCAGTCCAGGATCTCTGAGATAGCCAGAGAATTATGAAGTGAAACTCTAAATCCATATATTAGTATCTATAGGTCATCATACAAGAGAGTATGAGCTAAAAATCCTTATATATTAAAATATTCCTATCTATAAAGAATTTTAATAATTCTTCATATCCAACATGACTAATAAAAGTTTATAGCTTTTCTTGACAACAATTCCTAAGAATGATGGTAGCTGTAATCTCTGTTACCAAAATACAACACAATTTATTAAACCATAGCAACAGAATAATACATTTGATGAACACTTTGTAATTGTGTGGGGGGTGGGGAGAATTGCATGTTTAAAATGTAGTTTAGGGAAGCAGAATTTATGGTAATAAATGAAGAGTAATACCTTACTGTTAAAATTTTAAGATATCAACTTTAATTTAAAATGAAAAATGAGTATCAATATTAATTTCACTAGCAAAGAGGTAGCCTCATTTCATTATGAAACTAGTAATAATACACTGTTTGACTTTTTATTCATTCCACAAATATATATTATTTTCTACATATGCCAGTCGGTATTCAAAACTCTCTGGTTTTCATGATAAACAGGGAAGAAAATACTTCTACATCCATTGATTTTCAATTTGTCTGTAGAAAAAGTAAAGAACAACAAAAAGGAGTCAGGTGAGGTGCTGCAAACCTATAGTCCCTCTGGAAGACGCTGTAGAGGGATCAGGAGTTCTAGAACAACCTGGACCCCTTAGAGACTTAGTAAGACCCTCTGTCAAAATCAAATACAAAAGGAAAAAGTTAGCTCAATCCAGTAGCCCAAAGTTCAATCCTCAATACCAAGGAGGGATTTTCCATAGGGAAACAAAAGCAATAGCTAAGTTTTACTGCATACTCATTATGTGAGATGCATATTTATGAATGCCACTCAATCTGATTTTCAAAATCAGAGTGTTACTGAAAAAATATTATCATATTTTTTCAAGTGAGAAAAGTGAGACCCATAAATATTAAATAGTTTATGGGGTTCCAACCAGGCAATTTTTGATATTAATAGACTTCACTTGTTTAATTTTAGAAGACATCCCAGTCATTTCATTTGACAATTAGATAGTGACAAATGCAACAGTGAGACCAGGTGACATGGAGAACACTTGAAAGCTAACCCTGATTGCCCAAACATGGGAATAAGGAATATGATATATATTTTTTTGTTTTAATTCTCTATATCTTAGGGTGATTTTTTCTTAGTAAATGGTATCTACTGTATTTTGCATTTATTTTTATACATCAAAGAGTAGTTTTAAAATGATATTCATCTGCTATATTGAAAGTAAATAGGTAAAAAATAACTGATTATTATTTTAAGTGTGTATTACACATATTGGACTTGGTGCATAAATTAATTTTATGGAAAACAGTATACTCTGAGCTATTTTGACAACAATGCGTTTTCCAGTTTGTGGGACAATATACCTAACTACTACTTAAAGGAAAGGCTTATTTTAGTCAGTTTTCAAGGCTTCAGTCTATGACTTCCTCACTCCAAGGAAGAAACATCATTGTAGTAGAGAGTGTTGGAATGAGGCCACTCACTTCATGGTGCGGGGGTAACAGGTGGAAGGGACCAGGGCTCAGACATAGTACTATCTTGGTTATGTTCTTCTTACTGGGACAAAATATCTGACATCCAATTTGAGGTGGAGAGGTTTGTTTTGGCTAATAGTTTGTAGAGGTCTCCCAAGATAGTTTGAGGGCTCCAAGGCAGGGTCACAGGCAGAGGGACATGGTAGAAGTATGGCAGGCAGGAAGCAGAGGGGGTACAGGGAGGTGAGATACATACACCCTTCCAGTCCACACCTGCAGTGACCCACCCCTTTCCATCAGACTTTACTTGCCAACATCACACCCAGCTATAAGCTTATCAGTGGACTAATCCAGTGATGAGTATCACATACCCATGATCCAGTCACTTATCAAAAGTGCTACTAATAGGCACATGGGACTTTAAGGGAACCTCTAGATATCAGCCACAATATTCCACTCCTGGTCCCCAAAAGACTCCTAAATTATCAATTTGATAGTTGAAGTGTGCCACAAAGACGAGATTTTCCAATCATGAACTGGTTCCTGTTCGACTGAAGAAGACGTATACAAAATGAAGCACACCCTGACAACTGAAGCTATTTGGGCCTAGCTACTGCATAATCATAATCACATATGTTTGCCTACTAAGCAAAATAAAAACAAGCTTCAAAATAAATTAAATGAAATATAATAAATTTATCTATAGTTGTTCAATTTTTTTTGTTTTAAAGCCTATAAAGCATTGAATCATTCTTCAGGTAATTTAAATATAGTTTTTAATTAATGGCTACATACATTTCAGATATATAATATTACTCACTATATTAATCAATAAAAGCTCTTGTGAATAATGGAATATGGAGGGAAATGTATACATTTCACTATATAGAAATATTTTCAATAGCTTCCTTGTAACTAGTTAGTAGATATATGAATATTATCTAAGTTGCCTCAAATCTTATTCTAAACATTTTGGTTCATGTTTTTATGTCATAAAAACCTACCATGTTTATATTTTCTCTGAAAACTATACCATAAAGTTTTCATGAACTCTGAATGTGTAATGTACTCATTTTGCATACTAATAAGTAATTAATTTTAGCCAAACTATAAGTAACCACAAACCAACTTAACCAAGCTTTTTAGCTGCAAGGAATATATTGACCTAAAAGAAACATTAAAAGTTAAGTACGATGCTGACATAGACAGATAGTAAAATTCTGATCCCTACACCTTATTTAAAACTTAATTATTGATTTGTTATAGCATTGGTAGGGTGAAATTAATTCAAATAATTAATTAACCAGAATATCACATTCCTTTGGGTCATTCTAACTCAAATAAGCCTGATCACCTCAGAATATCATATCCATCAAAAACCTAGATGCATGCATTATGCTATTTTTTAAACAGTGTAATAGATCATATTTCCCTTAAGATTTTTATTAAAAAATAATTCACTTTAATAATAA